TGGGGAGGTTGAGGCTGCAGTGAACCAAGATGGCACCACTGCACTCGAACCTGGGAGACAGAGCAAGACCTTGTCAACAACAACAACAACAACAAACCGTAAAAAGCCATAATATAAAGAAAAAAAGATATGCTAGTCACTTAAATATTAACGTGAAATAGATTAATTCCTAGAAAAATGTCAATTGCCTCGAGAAATAGAGAGCTTGCCAGATTAAAAACCATGAGGAAAACGGTGGTGATAAAGACCCCAGCCCCAGAAGCCCAGATGGTTTTATTGTTTCTGCCAATGTTGGGAAGAACAATTGATTTCTCTTTCATGCCGGTGGTTCCAGGAAACAGTGAAGGAGGAGGAGCTGTCTAGCTGGTTTCGGCGGGGCTGGGGCTGGGAGCGGGGGGCCCGTTTCTTGCAGAAGTGGATGTGAATCTCTCCCTGCCACCTGCAAGGTGCTCGCACGCAGCTGTGGGGACTGAGGTGAAGCCGGCTGTCCCTGGAGTGTGGATTAAATGGTTAACGGCCAGGCCGTTAGGGCAGCGCAGGCCCCCGCTGGGCGCCAGGGAGGCTTAGCCAGGCGACGCCAGGATGCCCATGGCAGTGGCTCGATGGCAGGGGCTGGGCTGGGGGGGACCCAGCCCCGGGGTTCAGGGTGGCCCGAAGTCCGTGCACCCCCGCACCGCAATGCGGGGAGGTCCCCGTGGGCGAGCTGCCCAGAGGCTTTGTCGAAGTTGCCCAGCCCTGGGACGGTGGAGGGAGGGCGGTGGCGCGCACGGAGATACCAGTCAGCCCCTGGAACTAGGAACGCGGCTGGGGGCGGGTGACGCAGGCTGGGGTTTGCCGGGGTGGCCCGCGAGCGGCGTGTGACTTGGGGGTTCAAGGAAGTTAAACTGCACAGGCTGGGGTGAGGACAATGGGGGCCTGGAGAGGTGGGGCGAGAGGAGGGCGGGGGTCCCCACGAGCCGCGGCGGAGGCGAGGCGGCGGGTCCACGGGCTGGTTGCATCATCCCGCGGGGAGGGCCTCGGTCACTGCTGCTCTTCCCTGGCGCCCCGGCCCCGACGCAAGATGCGATTGCACCGCGCACCTGTTACACCCAGAGCCGGCATCCCTGGCGCAAGGAGCCCTCCCTCCCCAGCCCCGCCCGCCCCCCACGATGCGTCTGTCGCCGGCTCCGAGCGGGGGCAGGTGGAGGTTTTACGATTTCACTCGAAAGGGGCCAGGGTGGGGGAGGGCCCGGCGAAGGGTCCGC